AGTTACCATTCTTGAATTATAAAATATTAAAAATAAAAACTATTTAGCTGATGGTGGTCTCTCAACTAAAAAAAATTGCATCACTCCATGTCGTGCCACAGAACACCACCTCAAGTGTTTTGTGACATTTGACAGAAAAATTATAAAGAGTTATTCAATATTTGCCACTTATCACTACACATAAATTTCAAGCATGTATTTGGTTCATTGAATTACTCGTCGGTTTTTTTTTTCGACACGAAGTTTTGAACATGGTACAAATTGGAGGATTTAATTAGTTAAATAATCAAACACATCATCAAACATAATATATCATCTCAAAAGTTAAAAATATCACTTAATGATGGGTTCAATTATTTAAATTAAGAATTTTTAAATATTCGCAATGGTCTACGATTAAGCCGTTAAATCTAACCTGAAGACTAGATAGTGTTTAGAATAAATCTACCATCTTAAACTTTCTATAAGGTAAGTTCTCATAGTTAATTACATATTAAGTGACAAAAGCTCTCAATTAAGACTATGGTTTTGTTTTTAAAAAATTTCTAAGTTTAGCCTTCCACGATTGGTCATCGGAATTCCAAATGGGAAAGCCTAAAAAATTGAATGGTTATTAACGAAATTCAAAAGGAGAAAGGGGACATTGAAGATATCGAAGAAACTTCAGTATTATCCCTAACTATCTTATTGTTTGGCTTTGATGTTTTGGAAGAAAATTTATTTTTTCTATGTAATATTTTATTAGACTATTAAGACTTATATCACATGACATACAATCATGCAAATGCCTAAAAGTGAGAAGTAATGTCGTAATTAGATGAAAAACCTCAAATCCTAGTGCTAAGGTGAAGTTCACTGAATGAAGTGAAATATCAGAACCCTAATCTAAAGGAAAAGAACACCCCTTGCATTAAGTATTCTTTGTTCATTGGAGATTTTATTTAAGTTCTAATGTCTTTTTCAGATTTTAAAGGGTTGGAAAATTTTAGTTGCGTAAGACTTCTTAGACCATTATTTTCATGTGATATTATTTTAGTTTTGAGACAACCTGGTCAAGATCTGAAGGTTCCATCTTATTAGGATCATTAGGTTTTGTGGTTCGATTGGTTATAAGTAACTAGAAAGCTCCTTGTTATCAGTCCTGGGTTTCCTCCTCCAAGGTTCCTTCACAAACCAAAGTTTATTATAAGGTTCAAGTTTAATTCTTAGTGATTTTATGTTGTATTTTATTGTGTTTTATGTTTTTTAGGTGAGTTGAGTTATTGAAGAGCACTTTTGTAAAGTTGTAACTTCTTCATTTAACTCTCTTTGTCTCCTTGATTTTGTTTTGTGAGGATTAGCTTCCTTAAGTCGAGTGTGCTTTTATTCTTTAAGAGAATTAAAACACATATTGACTCTTAGTTTAATCTATATACTTAAACTCTCATGAGTTTTAGGGGTTTGTGAACTTCTGTTGTTAATATGTTTTACAGGTATATTATTTTGATTATTTGTTATGTGAAAGTACACTCTTGGCTCAGAGTAACCCTAAGCATAACCTTATATGCTTTAGGAGGTTCTTAATAAGGCTTATAAGTTTTAGGGTCTTAAGAATGTATTTATTTTTTTGTTGAGCGCATTTTGATTACCCGTTGTATGAAAGTATACCCTTGGCCTAGAGTAACCTTGGGCATAACCTTCGGTTTTTGAAAGATTCATTAATTAATTTTCTAATGAAGTTTTAAGTTTTAGGGTTTTAAGGTTGTCCAATTTTTTTTCTTTAAGAGTATTTGTTAATTATTGAAAAAAAATTTTGGTTGGCTTAATTGTTTGGCGGTTTTTGAAAGTCCATTTTATAGTAGGTTTGTTTCATGTGTTAGGATTTTCAGGTTTGACATCAGGGTTGGTTTAACTCAATAATTCTCCTAAACATTTTAGATAGGAATTAGTGAATTCATATCTTAATTTAGGTTAAGTTTTCTTAATTTACTAATTTTTCAAAACCTTTTTTTGGAGAAATTAATGAATTGATGTCTTAATTTAGGTTAAGGTTGTTAAATTTTATTGTTAAGTAAGAGTAATTTCATAATTAGGGATACTTATGAAATTAACTTTTCTTAATCTAAGGATTATCTATAATGGTTTTCATTAGGTCCAAAAACTAACATTCCTAAGTTAAATCATTCTGTTTTAATTGAATTTAGGATAAAAGGGGTCCTAAATCTGAAATTTATAAATTTTACAAATTTACCCTTTATGTGTTTATTTTCATTTTTTTTATTTTTAGAAGTCAAAATTGTCATTTTAGTGTAGAAAATAAATGTTTTAATTTATCTTCTTAATTTCCATTTGAAAATATATTTTTTTGATTGATATTATAATTTTTATAATTATTTTTTAAAATAAAAGTTAACTTTGATAGAAATTTAGAGTTTTTCGGTAATGGGGGTGTCCTCTGTCCTTGAAAAAATCAAGGAAGATCCTCAAGGATAGAGAGTTTTTATGGCCCAACTTTGGAGCAAATTGACACTTGGATAGAGAGTCAAGTATGTTTAAAGTCAAAGGGTGGCTCGAGAAGGTGTTGGGCTAGGTTAGAGGGTGTGGGACATAAAGATTTTGATTGAGTATGAGGTTTTAGGTCTCTGTAAAGCTAATAAGATGGATAATTTAGAGTTTCGTTAAGTTTGGTGTCAAGGCTGTGAAGTGCGCTAGATTTCAGTGATGAAATTAGGGTTGTGGGGTGGTGGAGATGGCCTAAAAATGGTGGAGTTTGGTTGTTCTAGGTTTTGGGAAGATTTTTGGAAGTAAGGGTGTGGAGTTTTGAGGGCTGGTAAGAGAGTTCAAAGATTCTTAAAAAGGCTCTCAGGTTTGCCTTATTTATACAGATCAAAGGCCATGAGAGAGGCTTTGGTATGCTTGGGGATCTCTAATGGATCCTTAGAGCATGAGCAAAGGGATTTCAGAAGCTTCGACAGAAGGATGGAAGCCTTACCCATTTTTTAACTTGTTGGTGCAGTGGCTAGCACCATTTTTGGTTTGAGTTTGACTCCTGGAGGATTGGACTTGGGCGGGTTGGACTTCGGTGTTATGTGGAAGCCACCTTAGCTAAGTGTGCATTCTTGTCTTTTAGTTTTTTTTTCATGCTTGATTTAATTTAATCAATTCCTAATTAGATTTATGTATCATTGTGGGTTATTTGAGTCATGTGTTTTCCTTTTTTAGGGTTTTAAGGTTTGGACTTTAGATGGTTGAGCTTGTCCATCAGGCTTTAGAATTAGTTTGATTACACAATTAATTTAATTCATTTAACTAAGAATTTAATTTAAATTGATTTAATTTTTAGGTTTAATTGAGAATTTTTTATTTTGGTGACTATTTGACTTTAGTTTAATTTTAGATTTTAATGATTTTAATTATAGAAATTTAGTTGAACATCAGTTTTACTTCAATTTAATTTTAATTTCCTTGATGAGTTGAGACTTTTATTTTAGGGTTTATTGTAATGTCCACGGCGATTTTAGGGTTATTTAGTTTTTGGGAAAAAAATTGGGTAGGCTCTAACTTCAATTGTGATGACTCAATCCCTTTGATTTAGTTATATTTATTCTTATGATTTCATTTTTTTTAAGGTTTTGGTTAGGAAAATTAGTGGGCTACCAAAAGGATCTCTAAGATTCTAAGATCATTGAGTAACTTAGGCAATTTTCACCTATGGGGATTCAACTTAGGCTTCAATGATTCAAACCCTAATCATCCCAACCAAAGGTTGGTGATTTGAGCTCAAACTACGAAACCTTCAGTAAATATAGAATTGGATTGAAGTTCTTGGTGGGTGGTGGTTCCATCTCTAGTAATCTAAGAAAGCTACTAGGAAATCCTATGGCTAGATTCTAGGTTCCTATGGAGGGAATAGACCTCACCAAAGTGTGGTCAACAATATTTTTTTTAATTTTAAAGTTTGAGCCATACTTTTCATTGACAACCCAAGTTGATATTATAGTTGCATGTTGCATATTAAATAATCAGATAGTTACTTAAGGTGGATATGATTTTATACTCTCAGAAGATGAATAGGTCAAAAGAAGTTGTGTTGGAAGAACATATAAGCACATGATAGATGACTCTCAAAAATGGCTGAAAAAAAAAGATAAACCAATTAACTATTGCCATGTGTAATCACGTGAATAATTTTGTCTATTAGGCGAAATGAGTTTTAGCTTGCAACAATCTCACTTTTGAAGTGGAACAATCTCACTATAGAAATATTGTTTATTTTCATTTTTTGCGGAAACTTTAACAAACCTTTGTGCTTTATATTTTTTTGGCACAAAGTAGATCTTTTTTCAAATAACTATCAAATTTGACTACAATGTATTTTACATGTATAGTTTTGTATTAACGAGTGAAAGCATTTCTAACATTCCAAAAATTTTGAAATAGAATTTAGCCTTAATGACCGGGCAATAAATAATTCACAATGCATATTTGATTATAAATATATGCTAATAATGAAAGCAGATTCTAATGTGAAAACCCAATAAATTTTGAAATGATAGGTTAAAGATCTCTCAACATTTCAAGCAACAATAATAATTCTCTAGTTTACAATATTGAGCCACATTAACTTAACAACCACCATAATATAAATAGATAATTATGAAAAAATCATGCTAATATACATGAGTAACCTAAAATGAAATTGTACATGATTTTAAGCACACGAGGTAAGAACAATCAAATTAACTTTTTAGGAAAGATTACTAAATTTTTTATTAAAACCAAACATCAAAGCAAACAATAAACATGATACAAGTTTATCAAGATGATTCTTTTTGATTTAATTCAATTTCATGGCATGTCAGTTTTTCAATTTCAATCTCTCCATTATCACAATCACAAGCAGCGGTCTCATGTCTAGTACAAGCCAAAAAAATATTGAATTTCATTTAGATTGATTGATCATTTTTTTTAAATGTACATGCATATATAGCAAGGATTAAAGTGATTACTTTCTTCTTCTGCTATATTAGCATCCTTTCATGGCAAACTTGCACTTCTGCATTCAAAAGGAGCCAAAAAGGGCTTTCATGAGCTTTAAAACAAATTTATGCCTTCGATAGCTAAAATTTTTAATTCCACTAAATAAAAAAATAGTCAAAGGTTGAGGAATATGAAAGTAATAAGTTAATATATGACATCTGACATAATTATCCTTTGTTCTTGCTAGATTAGTTTTATGCACTCATTTAGTTGTTTTCTTCATATTGTTTTTTCTTGTATTCATGTATCTTGAATTATACTACAACTCTCTATGTAGCTTCTTGTTTATCTTTTTTACTTTAATGTGTGATACCCACAATTATTATCACATTAGAGAAAATATAATAAATATATACTTTTTAGCAAATTTGATTAGGTTTTGCTCATAAGTTGATTACTTATGTTATGTAGTTTGAATAGTTGAGTTTTTGTAAGGTCGGGCGTTCAATTAACCTGAAATTCCTTGTACCTCATCAAATGTCACTAGAAGACTTTCTTTCTTCATTAAATGCAGCTTAACATGTATTTTATCTTTTAGATTATAGATTTTATTTCTATTTTATTTTAGTTAGGAAATGAAGATGGATGCACAAAATTCAAATACTACATTTGCTTCACAATAAAAAAAAAGAGAAAAAAAAGTTTATGTGGAGCTTGAAGCCTGAGTAGATAATTGATTTGTTATAAAGGAGTAGGTCATCCAAGACTCTGCATAAAGGCTAAGAAAAAGGTAATTAAAGTTGCAGAGTAAAATTGCAAAAATTAGATCCGACATCAGAGATCTTTACGGAGTCATATTAAAGAGCTAAAAAAAAGGCATGTCTTAAGATGAATGTAAAAAAAAAAAAATTAATGGGACTTGAAGAGTACATATAGCATATTTAGGTATTATTTTTATCCAATTTTTCTCTTATAAATTACAAAATAAAACAAGTTCATCATTTTCTATTTATTATATTATAAGCTTTTCCTAAAGATGTAATCTTACTTAATATCCTCATTATAAATTATATGGAGTTGGAGAAGGTTTGTGGTGAAGGACATGCTACTAGGGAATGAGCAAAATCATAAAATATTTACATTCCACTTGGCACCCAACAAATATATTTGAATGATGAGGATATTAAGGGCACACTACAGATGCAACATATCTTGTGCATTGACTTGAAGTGGGAGAAATTACATAATAGAAAAAATAAGATAGGAAATCTTCTTCTAAGGGATGTAAGTCAAGAAAAAGTGAAAGTTCTACTACTGATTTGAGCATTAATAACCATATTATTATAATGACCAACAGATTCATTGAAGTTACTATTATTATAAAAAGTCCAACAAGAGGTTCATATGAGAGGAAAATATCTACTGAGCTAATGGCATAATTGTCCAACTTTTGAGCGCTCTTTGAGGAAGAAATTGACACTATTTTTGACAACTTATCAAAAAACGTAAAATTGATTCACTTATTTTTCTAAAAACCGAAGGAATCAAATGTCAAGTGAATACAAAAGAAGCTTCACATGATATGTTGCAATGAGTTAGTATGTTATATCGTAAGATTTTCTGACGGTTTAATCATTTTGGTTTGCAATGAGTTAGGATGTTATCTTGAATGCATGAATATGCAAGGAATTCATTCAAAGGATCTTTTGTTGCATTTTGGTTTTTATATGCTGAGCATGACATGATCACTTTTATGGAATACTGTGACGAACTTTCATCGTTGAGTAACGAATATGCAAGGACTTCATTCAAAGGGTCTTTTGTTGCATTTTGGTTTTTATATTGAGCAGGACACGATCACTTCTATGGAATACTGTGACGAACTTTCATCGTTGAGTAAATAATACTTCTTAAATTTTCTCACTTTGAGTTAGGATGTAGAGATGCTAGAATTTTGAGTCTTTTGCTTGCCACGTTGAGGTTTGAATTGTCCATTATTATATTGAATATGCTTGTTTTAATTATATTGTATAAGTATATTTCTAACTTGTCTCCAATCACATTAAAATTGTTACAAACAATGATGTTTACTATGCAACTGAAAGCATTTGGCGGCCAAGTTAAAACAAAAGGTTCTCAGGGGTAAGGAAACTACCAGAATATTAACCAAAAAAAGGTAATAAATATATTTAGAAAATGTAAGTAGAAAAAATTGATAACATAAACGGTTGTAGGAATTCTTATTAGCTTTCCAACAATACTAAAATCACCTAATTTTGTTAATTGGCGAGATAAGTATGACCGAAATAGCGAGAGTAGATGTTTAATTTCGAGACCTTTTATTTATTAAAATGTTTTTTAGAAATGTTAAAAAAAAAAGATAACATTAAATTAGAAAGAAATCTGGTTCACTTTCAAACAACACCAAAATTATCTCATGCTATCAAGAAACAAGGTAGTTATGATTAAAAAAACAAAAGACAACAAACTGTTTCTGGATAGATTTCTACAATGAGATATTAATTGATCAATGATATTAATTTATTTTAATAATATTATTATCATAAAGTAGAAAATCATTTTAATCCTAATTAAATTTATATAATCATTAATAATAATGAAAAAAAATTTTCAATTTTCAATTTCAATATGTGAACTTTTTTTTTTCTTTTTGTTCTTTTGCATTATAATATAACGTGAATTTTCTAACTTGTGGAAACAAAATTGATGCAGAACTAAAAAGAAACCGCGTAGTTCCGGAATACATCCGGTGTTGTTTCTACATGTTTCTTAAACTGTTGTACATAAAATTCAAAGTTAATAATGTCAATAAGCATTTTCCCATAGTCATGTTCGTTAATTTGTAAATTAACAGATGAGAAAATTTTCTAAACTATGCAATATTAATAATAATGATGTGTTGAAATGTAAATTAGCAACAATTGAGAAAATTCTGATGCAAGTGAATTTGAAAACTTGGGAGAATTATTGTACCTCTGGACTATGCTTCAATCGTCTTTGGCTTGATATGACAACGAAGTAAATAGCTTGTATGGGTCTAACATCTCGACATAAACTTCATATAAATAAGTGAATGTTTGGGGGTTCTTATCGCAAATATTTTTTTTTTGCGTCACAATGACCATAGGTGGAGTCGTCTAATTATGAATTTGAATGGTTACATTATGCTACCACATTAATGATGATACCAATTACTGACAAACTGCAAAGCACAATTTCCCCAAGCAAGATTAAGCAAAAGTTATTACAACAACCGAACTGCAAACCGACACTAATTTGCTTTTATTTTGAAGTTATTAAAATGGGAAAATAAAAAACTAAAAATTCACTAATAAATAAGGGTTTGTATATTAATTCAATATTAAAATGGGCTAGAAATTCAACCGATTTATCACTAAGTTGAATAAAAAAACTATATTTAACAATTAAATAAGTTAAAAATAAGATTTTGTTTCCGCCATGCCAAGCGTGCTATCAAGAGGATTATAATTAAACAGCACTAATACACCGTTTAAAATGCAACAAAAATCAAACTTTAAAACAACGAACTAAATTCAAACACCAAAATTTTAACTTTTACACCAATCAGATTTTAACTTTTGCACCTCTATACCACGTTAAAAATACAAAAGTTATAACTATTTAAAAATAAAATATATATATTTTCGAGGCTCAACTAATTTGAATATAACAAAAGTTATAACTATTTAAAAATAAAATATATATATTTTCGAGGCTCAACTAATTTGAATATAAACATAAAAAAACAAATGTTAGACAAGTAAATGCAATGGAAACGTGTGGAAAATCTTCTACTCATTTACCTTTTTTTGAAATTTCAGAAAATTTACATCGATACCTAATAATTTTTATCTGTGTTTCCTTTTTCTAAAGTTTAAACAAGTCATTTTGATGTGATAGGAAAAATTTGGGGGGCAGAAATGAAAAAAAAAAGAAGTTTAGATGTGTAAATCCATAGTTGGTTTGTATGTATGTAAAGCTGGTCATGCTACCACATTGAAAAACCTAACATATAGGAGCACAATTTAAAGATAAGCCGAAAAGAAATTGAATAATTTTTCAAATTGAGTTGTTAACAGATATGATTCATACTAAGAATGCAAAATATATGCTTTGCGGAGGTTTGTTGTTACCTATATTACGCTTGGCGAAAAAATCACCTGCGACAAAATTACAACCACCTTGCAAAACAGAGAGAAGAAGATTAAGAAGAAGAGAATGATTTAATGAAGCCATTTTCGGCAGTCAGCTGAACCACAAAAACAACGCAGCTTTTTAAGAGTACCATCAACTCCAACTACGCTATCAAGCACGTAGCCATAGTCGTACGTTAGTTCCTGCAAATTTAATTTACAGATCATCAAAATTTGGAGAAATTAAAAAATATTGCAAAGATTAATTGGAACAAAGAATTGAAGTTTAGGTTAAGCGTAAAATCAATATTAACATGATCAGACATTTAAAGCAATTTGTTGGTCATAATAGATATGTGAAGTTATCAAATGGGAGCTTCCAAGATAAAAATGATAGAGGACAGATAACTGGAGTAAAACAAAGAAAGATTTTTTTTTTAAGACAATACTAAATATATTCAATAGCTTAGAAGGAATTTGTGAAAAGTGGGGTGTAATTTACCATTCTAGGCGTCTAAAAGGTGTTTAGGAAGGTATGGAGCAAATGGGAGGTCGACTCCATTTAGAAGGGGATAAGCGACAAAATTTGTTCTACGTTAGCAGATTTGAGCGGTGCGGCAGCTGTCTGGACTGAAAACATCAGTCAAATGGTGAAATGGCGACGTATTGCCAGTGAGGAGGATCCATTATACAGATACACTATTTGCAAAAGAAAACATATACAACCCCACAGAGCAAAAATAGAGAATAAAGTTTTTAAATATAAGAACAATGGCAAAAAATTAAAAAAAACAAAAAAATAATGTCCAATCATAGAAAATAACATATTAGAAATAGAGATAGGAAAGAAAAAAATGAAAAAAAAAGCTAAATTGCAAGTCGGCACACCCCCTTAGGAAAGAAAAAAATGAAAAAAAAAAAAGCTAAATTGCAAGTCGGCACACCCCCTCTTCAAACCCGGGATTGTGCGTCTTCAAATGATCCTACGTAGATTCAAAGATCCCGTAGAACCGATGCCCCCACGTCAAATTTACCCTGAACACTTTGATCTTAAATCCATGCATAAAACTTAGTTATCATTTTCTAAAAAAACTAATTGCCAAACTCAACGACATGATACTACATACAAGATGGTAGGCTTTATTCCAATTTTAATGAACATAATCGATGAAAGAATCATTTATATTTTAGAGAAAGAATAAGGTAGCATAGGAAGTGCTATAAATGAGGAAAATATTTGAATCATGCTTTCATATCTGGCCTAGTAGACCTTCATATTTATGTGGTCGTGAAAAAATCAGATGTTTTATTAAGGATGTCCTTGAGTTTACCTGGTCTCAAGCTGCATTTTTTTCACCATCAGGTTCTCTAATCTATTGGGGTCATCCTAGGGGATCCTTTGAAGCTAGATTTGCCTACTTTCAACTTAACTAGACCCTCAATGATCCAGACGTTATGGATCCTTTAGACAAGTTAGGTTGAACAACTCCTCTAACTATGTAGATAAGCGAGCACAATCAGAACGACAGAGCTACAAGATCTCGATGAATTTTAAAACCTAAAATCCTAAATTTGTTACAACTATACACCTTTAAGCTCAAGGCAGCTAATTTTATAACTAAAATCCTAAACTTGGTACCAAATGTTTTCAAGAGGAGCAATCAACCACAGAGGGCATAATATTTAGGTAGTTTAATATCTAAATCAACCACAGAAACAACCTAAGAGGGAACTGTCAGTTGAATGGAGAAAACCTATCAAATAGTATTTTTTCATAAAAAAGTCATTCTATTTCATAAAACTAAAATTTGCAACAGATTGTACCTATTTAATAAACTAAAAAGTTGAACTAAAATACCTATCAGATTGCGCTCCATGATGTCTGTAAACTTTCTCCCTTGGGTCCATCTAGTCTACACTTGGTTTTGTCGAAAATTATTTACAACTAAAGTATAATTTATAACTACTCGATGGGCAATTATTTCTTAATTAAAAAAATTTCATTATAAAATATACTTTAAACATGCAGTAACAATAAAAACTGTGCAGTAAAAGAGAGCAATAAAGAAACCAATTTCATTTAATTTCATTTATTTATGTTACATTTTTCATAGTTGAGAGGGATCGTAAAAATGCACTATAAAGCAAATATATGTTTAATCTTCTCCAGCCCATTATAAAGGTATGCAGTTTTTTCTATATTCATTTTCATTTCTATTTTCGCGCACAGGTATAATGTATTCCATCGTCAGTACCATTTAGGGGTGACTACGATATGCATGCACATATCATATTTTTTTCATTTGTTAATTATTCTTCTTTTTTTTCCTACCTCTGCTGTTGCTAGGTGTGTAAAAGCGAGCCCAGGCTCAGATCCTGTCTCACTAGTTAAAATATACCACTGCACGTATTCGGCTTATTAAAATTTGATCGTGTCCGACTCGTTTACTTAGTAAGCCGAACACGAGCCATTCACGAACCACGAGCTGTTTTGAAAACCCTAGTCATGCTGACGTATGACGTTAAAAGTATGGATGAGAATTAAAACAAATTATTTATACTAAAATATTCATTTGAATGGAATTTAATAAATATTTACTCAATTTTTTTAAATAATAATTTTAGCTTAATACATTTTTGTAGCCTTCTAATCAATTAAATAATTTAAAGATAATGCCTAGCAAATGAATCAAATAAACATAATTTCATCTTTTTGAGCCAAAACAAGTCTAACTCGAAAAAATAAATTTTTGTGCCTAGCGAACGAATCAAATACGAGCTACTTCACGAGCCAAACACAAATTATTCGTGAACAACAAGCCATTTTGAAATCCCTAATTATTGTTTCTTTTTCCTCTACCTCACTCGCTCTGTTTATCCCATGCTCCCTCTCTCTCTCTCGCCTGATTTCAAATGGGTGAAGGGCTTTGATTCTATCCCGACCGGTGGCTTCCGAACAGTGTCTGTGAAATGATATTACTTCATAGGTGTCGTAACAAATAATTTTTTGTATAATTACATTAATCAATTTTTTTTAATTCATTAATATTACACCCTCAATACACTGAATCCGAAAGGTCAAATTTTTGGAGCCCACAGCTTAAAGGGGCCAACCAACCATCCAGAGATGCAAAATCAGAATTTTGGTCTAATTGCAGTATCTACAGGGTAAGAAGAGGAAAAATAAAAGATCAAAGATGAGAAGAGTAGTCATAAGAAAATAAAAAATAAAAATAAAAAAATCAAAGCGAAAAATAAATAAATATTTCAAAATAACAATCAATTTCCAATAGCGAGGTCCTGTCCAAATAAATATTTGAAACCATTAAAAGTTACACCTACAAAAGAGGCCTAAATGTCATTTGGCAGAAGGAAATGCAAAAAAAAGGGATAAATATCAACAAGTAATTACCAAAAAGAATAGGCACTTGCACATAAAAGAAACACTGGTGTCAAACTCATAATATTTGCAGCCATGGTGTCTATAGAATTAACAAACTATACGCTGAGGATGAAACGAACATCACCTGTAGTGGAGGAATATTATCAGCAGCAAACAACATTATTTTTGCCATTTTGATATCCTGATGTTGGCTCAACACACATTGAACAAAAAGGTTTGGAGTACAACTATGATTAATAAATCGTGCAACACCGCCAAGGGAGCCTGCGTCAATACAATACTCGGGTACTTCAGATTTCCTCTCATCCAAATCAATGAGAGAAGATAAATCACCAGGACGCCTCTACAAATTAAGAATCAAATAGTTCTTTTAGTTTACAAGCAAGGATGAAAAATTCAACAAAGAAAAGCAACAATAATACATATCACAATATTAAGCAAGCATATAAAATTGCAAGAAAGATGAGTATTGAAAGTTGACTTCATCGCATGGTATACAGTATAAACTGGCATATAAAAAGAATGATGACACTAAAGACATTAGAAAATGTAATATTAACCTATCCAAGAACATGCCTACCAAGAATAATTAATAATGCCGTATGAAAGGCATTAAATAGATATTAAAGAGATTAAAAAAATAAAAATATTAAATAATAAAAAAGGTGATGATAAAATTATATTAAATACCTCTCTTCCATCAAGGCCTTTAATTGTTTGCAAACAATCAATATCAAAGATGTAGTTATTCTCTGCAACTGAATCAATATCCTCACTTCTTGTCAAAATTCCTGTATATTCACACACAGGAGCACCAGAAGGAATTGTATCCCAGGATCTGACAGCCCAACCCTTCTTTGAGGTACGATAAACCTGTTAAGCATAGCAAAAAATACAGACTGAACAAAAAAGTTTATTAGATTAACGTAAATCCTCAGATATTTAGTTTCAATTTAGAACCTCGAGCCGATATCTGAGTCCATGTTGAGAGGTCCTATTGACACAAGTAGAGGAGCATTGACAATGAGGACCACATTCAAAGACTACAGCTTTTGCTTCAACCAATCTAAAGATCAGGAAAGAGCACAAATTAGAACCGAAACATAAAATAAAAATATGTAGAAGGGAAAAAAATGGATTAAAATTCAAGGTCAACTCCGCATTTACTAATTTTGTAGTAAAAAAAATCCAAACAAACAAATTTTATTCAAACATAGCCAAAGGAGAAATTTTATTACAAATAAAGTTCTGAGAAAAGTATCGTTCATTCCGAAACAAGATAAATTAAAAAACCAATCACTCAATGTATTATACAGAAACACAAAAAGCTCCAGGCATATGACTAATGATTTTAATCCATATCTGTAAATATGCATAGGATTACCCTCACCAAAAATCTAGATATCATGGCATAAAAAAAGGGTACAGACACTAGTATAGATTGGACAAGATTAATGCAGTTGAAAGGAGCACGAATAAGCAACGAATTTTAATTTTTAAATTAAGGAAGCTAACCTTTTATCATTATTTGCTTGAACGTTTCAGAATCAGGTATAGGAGAAAAGAACACCTCCATTGAAAACCAGGTGTATACCGAATAGTATTACAGTACACCCAACAAAAGAACTCTTCATCCAATTTCACTTCTGGTGAACAGATTCAAGCCCGACTCTTTTATAAATAGGACAAGGTGTATGTTTAAAGTACAAAATTAAATAACAAGAACTCAATTTAATACAACTTCAACAAAAACCTAGGCTAAAACACAATTAAATAAAACTTCAATTAATATCAGAAATCCCATGATAGATGTAATTAACTAAACATGATGGATAAATGTTAAACAAAGCATCTCATTAATTAATGTATTTATTCCTAATTTTACAATATGGAACTTTAACTAATTTAAAAGATACCGGAGTTAACCCAAAAGCACAACAAACTGAAAAACTATTGTTGTGAAATACCGGAAACAACACCCTAGCGTGAGGACATAAGGTGATAAGGTGGCGGCCATACACAGATATGGTGCAGGTTGGGGTTTGCGAATTCAGCATAGAGGTTTGGAATGGGCGGAGACAATAACTGGAAGGTAGGCAGAGGATGGTGGCAACAGCAGGAGGATTACAACTATAAGGAATAGTGGTAACAGGGTGTATGGCTGCAGATTGTAAGGTAGAGGTGGTAACGGCTGCAGGTTGGAAGGAATAGGAGGTTACGGCTGAAGATTAGGCAGCGGAAGGGTGACAGCAAGGGGAGCACAAGAGTTTGGTGCACCGGTAGGGTAGCAGTGGCAAGGGAGGAGTAGTCACCGGGTTGTGGCGAGGCAAAACCTGTCCTGGGATACAGTCCGAGGAAGGGACAAATGCCAATTGCAAGAAATTTGAAATCAACAAAAAGCTGAAAACCCTAAACAGATAACATAGAATATATATAGAATATATATAGTAGCAGTAGATAGCTAGCGCGGAAGGCCCCTCCTCTTTAGGTGGCAATTTCAAGAAGGGTAAGCGCTCGACCAGCCCCATGCAAACCAAGGTTGAACCGGTTTAGCCCTTCCACCGGTTCAGCCCCATGCACCCCGCATCATTAAGTCTCCTAATTGGAAGAAAAATTTTAGACTCCAATACTACAAAAAACCATGACTTCTACAAGCCACGGAAAACTAAAAAGACGATGTTAGATGTTGTTGAGACAGAAGATAAAAGCAATGACCAAAAACCAATCAAAATGACGACAGTAGCACAACCAAACAATGTCAAACTATCAAATTATACGTTAAGAAACAACCTAATCAAGGAAACATGCTAGCCATGGTTATACAAGAGCGTTAACTGCAACATTATTCAACTTTAATAAGATAAATGAGATAATAAGCCCAAGAATTAAAAAAAAAAATCAGGAAGAATTCATTTTTTTATTCTTCAATGGTAACATTAAACGCACACTATAGTAAATACTTACCCAAAATGTGATGGAGGTTCCTCTGGTGAAGTAGAAAGTATTCCAAATGGTAAATAATGCTCAAAAGTATGAACAAACTAACAAATTTCAAGATTCGATTGGTACTGCCAACTTTTGAAGAACGAATATTAAAAAATTCAAAATCTTTTTATATTGCTAGAAAACATAAAAAATTGTTATGTCAAGTTGGCCTCATACAAATTGAAACCACGAACTTCAACATGGTAGGGAAAATAGCAATTCAATTGCCTACTTGCAAAAGTATGAAAAAAAGTAGCAAAGATAAGCAATGCTTAGAAAATCAGACTGAAATGGGGGGCCAGCTCGGTCCGGAACACTTAAAAGATATTTCTGTCTGTAAGACTTCAGGTCAAGCCAAACTGCCGATATGACCTGAAATCGGCGCACCGGTTTTATTTCTTTTATTTGATGGTTTGCCTTCCCTATTGTAAAATCCAGAGTTGTCTTTTGTGATTTGTGTTCCAAACAAATCCTTCGCCTTTCTAGTTCCTGCGGCTCTACCTGCTCGTGCTCGAGGCTTAGAGTGGGAGATCGTCGTCTTTCGCCGCCAGACATCAGCAGTGTTGGCCATTTTAGGACATTCACTATAAGTATTTCTAACTGCTCCTTTGTATGTCAAATCATCCTACCTTAATTCTTCTCTCCCCCATGTTTTATGTTTATCCAAAATCAATAGTTTGTTGTTGCTTACTTCCTTATGCCAACCTTCAATTATTTATATTCTGAACTTTTGAAAAAATTTAAGAGGCACATACATACATACCACTCCATTTCCAAGGTGTTAACATGTCTTCCATGTTTAAACAAGAGAGATGATATAGCATAAGGTTATTTGAAACTTTAAGATCAACAAAAGTCCTAGTGTTTTCATCTCAATCAGATTACCGTATTGCTATATCAATCAAATTTCCATTTTATGTCAAATTTAATTAATATTTCTATTCATTACATTATCCAGCTCAACCCTTGGTTCAATTCAACCTCAATTGAATCAATAAACCTTGAAACTTTCATTATTTCGGTTTGATGTCTGGTCCGATTTTCACAACCTTGATAATAAGGATTATTTTTATTGAACAGAAGAAAACACCACATAGCACAATATGATACAATGGAGAAAAAGAATTCATGTAGCCAACCTCACTTAGTAGTAAAAAGGCTTCTTGTTGTTGTTGTTGTCATCGTCGTCGTAAAAGTCAACACACGCACATAGCTCAGCAAGCTAGACAGATGATGATGAGTGTGAGCTAAGAGGAGAATTTGAGGGCGGGAAGCTTGGTTAGAAGAAATTATTTTTCAGATAAAATGACAACGATCCTTTCATCAGAAGTGGTCATCTTCATATAAACATTTATTTTGAGGTATTTTTGTTTAGACCACAATTAAGTTGAATAAAACACATAATTTGCGATGATTACTGACTTTTTACATTGGGTACATTACAGTGATATGCGCAAGAAAATCTATTCCAAACTTGATTTATAGTCTGCAATACGATACCCATTTTCTAACATAAGAAAAGTATTCCAATATTTGTACACGTTACCATATGAAAATTGGCTGAAAATGCGCATACTATGGGCACTATTCAGATAAGAATATTGAGAATTGATCAGAAGTTATTACTAAAATTATGGTATTACACATGTTAACCCATTCAAAAAAAATTACATACTATTTTGAAATTGTACAAATCATATGATCCGTTAAGCATATGCAAAAAATTAGGTATCACTTTAATAGGCGTTCCTGCATTAGCCTAAGATATCCTATTACAATTTATTAACTGCATGCCCATAATAATCCTATATATACTTTTAAATGCTTCAAGATAATGATGTAAAAGAGATATCAATGAAACACTGACATGGCATGGTCGATAATAATTAAGCCCCGAGAAGCATATAAGTTGACTTGTCAAGCAAGTTTTTAAGGGCCAAGAATGGTTCATTCTTTTTAGTATTACTATTCAATTAAGCAATCCATAATTTATTAAGGAGCTATTTAAGAGTTGTTATGTTGGGAAAAGTTCAGCTCTCATTGCTGAGTATGATAGATCCGTAGGCAAAATCAAGACCTTACGATATAGAAGAGGTTCTAGTTCAAACCATAGCCTTATGAACATGTCAAGATCTAGGCAACCAGTATATGATACTTGTTAAAGAAATTCACATATAAAGAAGAGCAGAATGTGAGACTAAATGAAATATTTTGGTACAAACGATATGACTAGATTTTAATTCCCAGCAAACAATCATCCATATTATTTATTTTTGTGTCATTTATTCGACCAATTGTAGGATCGTGCTTTAACTGGATCTTTTATAGAACTCGTAACAATGAAGGTGGATATTGTCTGATAATGATTATAACGAAGGACTGTTGGGTACAATAACATTTCCACGATCCCGCTTACAGGATCCGGAGACAATAACATTTCCACGACCACGCGGGCAACATTTTCGCACCTGGAATGAACTAGTCCATGTTTTGTCGGACTCGAGGAGCCCGCCGATCCACTTGAGCAACTCCTGGCTATCCTATATTATAAATTTCTATCCCTGATGTTTTAGGATAACTTTTTTTTAGTGTTTTGTCCAGTACTGCTGCCAGCATTTGTTCTTCTCCCTTTGAAGATTGTATCCAAGGGATTGAGTGGTGCTACAACTATATCTCTCTCCCTAGGTGTTAATTATCTTCATGACCCCCTTTCTGCATTTTCCACACGATGCTCCCGACCATCCTCCATAGTTGCAGCCACCCCAAACACTCGTTTTCAGTTTTTCATCGATATTCCATGACAGCTTCAGCCTTCCCACCACAAAGCATAATAGTTGCAACAACCCAACTTGCAGCCCTCATTGTCTAAGACATCTAATTCGCTTCCAACACGATTCCAACCCCTCCTTTTGTTGTACCAAGAAATTTAAATCACCTACCTACACTCCCCAACCACCTAGCCGGTCTCCACCGCCCATTTAAGCCTCCTTTTCAAGTGATTTTGAATGAATTGGTCTAGGTTTTGTCGCAGTTGCAGAGTCGGCCAACCCTTAAAAATTTCTATTCATCATGTTTTGGATTAGTTTTTTAGTGTTTTGTATAGAACTGCTTCCAGCATTTATTCTTCTTCCTTTGAATTTTGCATCTAAGGGATTGAGTGGTGCTTCGGCTATATCTCTCTCCCTAGGTGGTTATTTATCTTCATGACCCCCTTTCCACATTTTCCACACGACAGCCACCCCAAACACTCGTTTTAATTTTTTCACTGATATTCAATGACAGCTCCAGCCTTCCCACCCCAAAGCATAACAGTCACAGCCACCCCACCTGCAGCCCTCACTGTCTCAGACATCTGCTTCACTTCCAACACCATTCCAACCCCACCTTTTGTTGCCCCAACCCATTTAATTCACCTACCTCCACTCCTCGACCACCTAGCCAATCTCTACAGCCCATTTAAGCCTCCCTTTCAAGTGAGTTTGAAGGAAATGGTCCATATTTTGTCGCAGCTGGGGAGTCCGCTGGTCCACTTGAGCCACTCCTGGCTATCCTATAATTATAAATTTCTATTTTAGATTTTTAGGTTACTTTTTTTTTTGATATTTTTCTAGGACTGTGGCCAATATTTGTTATTCTCCCTTTGATGGATGTATTTGAAGGATTGAGTGGTGCTTCGATTGTATCTCTCTCCCTAGGTGTTGATTATCTTCATGATCCCCTTTTCGCATTTTGCACACAACGCTCCTGACCATCCTCCAAAGCTGCAGCCACCCCAAGCACTCGTTTTCAGTTTTTCACCGATATTCCATGACAGCACCAGTCCTCCCACCCCAAAACATGACAGCTAGTCTCAGATATCTACTTCGCTGCCAACACGATTACAACCCCTCCTCTTGCTTTCACAACCCATTTAAATCAGCTACATCCGCTCTCGACCACTTAGGTGATCTCCATCGCCAATTTGAGCCACCCTTTCAAGTGAGTTTGAATATAACTGCCTACTAGCATTTAGAAAAATTATATGCTTTCTTATTGTGGTTTGGGCTAAACACGATATGAGTTTATAAATGATGTGTCAATCCAATCAACAAGATTAAAACATTAAAAAAGATTGCCGCCAAACATTAAGACTTCATTTTATATAGATTTTCATTGAATTGCTATTCAAAATGACATAATCATATATCACAGCAATAGTAATTGTTTCAAATAAATTGCGCACAAGAAAATACAAAACGATCAAACAAAGAAAAAGTATCAAGGCAAAACAATTAAGTTGTCTCGCGCCAATTAAAGAGTAGAATAAAAAAGAATTGACCACATGCCAAATGTAGAATAAAATTGCTTAAGAAATAAATAAGCAACAAAAACTCTCAATTGTCACAATAAGATGAGATGAAAGAAAGCATTTATGTCATTTAAATTACAATTATTAAGTTGTGAAAATCCATTTAACATTAAATCCATTAACATAAACATCCAAGCAAATTATTTCAAAGTAGTATTAGTTTCATGACAACAAAACAAATAAGCTAAAAACAATTCCAACGAGCAACAAAAATATATTAGGATTTCCATACCGGCCCCCATCCTTATGAACATATGGAATGTCATTGCCGTTAAGTCTTGCACAAGAACAACTTCTTGGATCAACGCATTCTCCTCTACAATTGCATCCATAAGAAACCAATGGAACTTTTATATTTTTTGCAAGTTTGACAGACTTGCTATAGAAGAAATCTGCAAACATCATTAAAGAGAAACTTTGTCACTCAAAATATGTCGCTCTGCAATAATTATATTCAAACTTTGATTTCAAACTTATTTTGATTCTAAAACTAACTATGCTTTCATTAAATACTAAAACGCAAATAATTGGTCTGATACTAATGCTCAACATACTCTAGTTGACCACTTCTAGTAAACTAGAGTTACAATAGAGGCCGATGATTTAGATATACTGAATTTCAACCAAAACTTATAATGACTTCCAATCATTAAAATTGAAAAGGCAAGGAATTAGTCATACTGGAGTTAACCCAAATCACAATAGGAAAAGAAAATATTATTAATGAAAGTAAAAAGACGGTCACAATCAAACACACTTAAAGGAAAATGATAACAAACACAACACAAACTCACACTAGGGCTCGATCAATACGTGATGGAAGTAAGTTAGGTGGTTGGGGGAGTGGAGGTAGATGGCTGAAATGGGTTGTAGGTGATCGGGACAAAAAAAGAGGGGCTGAAATTGCATTGGCAGCAAAACGTAAGGCTGGGACAGCCAGGAGCAGCAAAGGCGAAGGGATGTGGCCTGCAGAACAGCAAAAGGACTGTTGTTTAGTACGGCATAGGAAGCAGCGAAAACAAGGACATCAAGATAGATTGCAGTTCTGACGGCAGCAAGTCAGAATGATAGTTGGACATCAGGAAAATAGAACGTAATTTCTATTTCATTTGTAGGCCGTGATGGAGAATGACGGCAACAGTGATGGAGGACGCAATGGACTGCAAGACAGCAAGAGGATGGGAGTTTGGGGCGGCAACAACGAGAACAGGTGTGTGAAACTGGAGAAACTGCATTGAAAACAACAATGTATGTTCGTCGGCTGGTGTTGAAGAGAATAGAGAAGATAATCACTACCTCAGAAGCCAAATACAGTCAGAGTGCCACCCAAACCATCATATAAAGGCATTGAAGAGAAACGGATGTTGTTGGCTATTCTGAATAAAACTAAAAAAAAGAGAAAAAAAAATTGAACCTAAAACATCAAGAATGCATATATATAATTATAGGACAACAATGAGGAACCTAAGAGGATCAGTCTACTCATCAACAAGAACCAAACTTGGATTGGTTCAATCCAAGACCAGTAGCCGACTCGAGGCTTCGATCGCGAGACTCTGGCGACGAGAGTAGAAAGTGCTCCCACATCTAAATTATCTACAAACATACAAGTATATATTGACAATACTAAAAATTATTAACAAATAGTAATATAGAAATCTAGATAAAAAAATCATTAGCTGAAATATAAAGCTCTTAAATTCTTCAAATCTTCAATTACATTAGACACATTAAACTTCAATAAACATCCAAAATTATAAAACCAAAAATTTATACATATAATTGGGCAACAAAACTGCACATACATAATATATAGTGAGAAAAACGTCCGATAAGATAAACAATGCTAAAATAAAGTTAAAACATACAAAAATGAATAACATGCATGGAGAAAATTTCAAACATAATTTTCTTATTTATGGTAATAGTGAGCCTAGTATAATTAAATAGGCATATAGAACATGATCATAAGCACGAAAAGCAAAAATTTTCAAAACTAAATATAACTACTTCCTAAAAAATATTTTATTGTGCAATGCTAATTAATTACATATAGGAATATATCAGTTTTGCTTCTATTTTTCCCTCCATAATTTCTATTCCGCTTTCTCTGAGATGTCATATCATATGTGCATGCTAACCAAAATAACTACATAATGTCGAGAATCCACTTAATTCACAACTACGGCTCATCTCATCAAAATGCCATCCCCTACATAGGTCATGATCAGGTTTTTGCCTTAAAATGAGATTTCTTTGATCTTCCTAACTTTGCCATATTATTTTTCAAATGCATTCCACCCATAAAAGAATATTTTTCTGACTAATTATCACAAAAATATTATTTCTTGAATGTGTTCCAACCTTAAAATGAAGGCATACCATTCAATAATATACTATACTAGCATTCACAAAGAATACAGTGTATCGTAATATTTGACATTTTATACTTAATTATGAATTTTCATAAACATACTACAAAATTTATAATAAAAAGGCAATCACATGAATATCAATGAAACCATGCTAAAAAAATAAAAATAAGCTCAATAAAAAAGAATTCAAAACGGAAATACCCACCAAAGGGATTTTTTTTTTTTCCGCCGAAATAGAAATTTCATTAATGAAAAAGAGGATACGAAGGTTTTAGCGAGCAGGTGCTACAAGTCCACTCACAAGGCATAAATGACTCGAAAAAGGCAAAATGTACAAGAATACCCCAAAAAGTAACCTAGACGAGCAGGTGCTAGAAGTCCACTCACAAGGCATAAATGACTCGAAAAAGCCAAAATGTACAAGAATACCCCAAAAAGTAACCTAGACAAATTTATCAAAAGCAAAGCAAAACTATCAATCATAATGAGAGGATTAGCCTCTCCCTCTCTCCTTGGTTCTAGGAATGGAGTCCAACAACAAACTATGAAAGGGGCTTCCTCCTGAGACGATCAAACCGTCATCCTGTAGATTCTGAAGGTGAGACATTCCTTTTTCTTCTTTTTCGATTTATAAACATGTCATTCATCTTCCACCTGTTGATCCAACTAAACGATTTCAGTGGAGAGCTCACGTTGATCTTGGCATTCCTCCAATGAATGAGTACCTTCCCTAACAAACATAAGTGATGCCAACTCATTATGGTGAACTTCCAATACATCCAAATGAGAGGGATTAGGGGTCTGAATAGGCTTGCATAATGGTGGGTTCTCATCAAGTTCACTAGGAGCAATATCAGGCCGTGTATGAATGCTTCCATTGTGAGGAATGGGGATAAAAAACAGCTCATCTGTCTGGTTAACATTTGTACCATCAGGTTCTAATAAAATTGCAGGATCTAGAGTTGCCTCTTTGGTATTATTGATAGAATTCACATGTTGAGGAATCAAGAATTCCTTTGCGTTTTGTTCTAAAACTGAAGTGTCGAAAATACCAAGTTCAGGAATAGATGGTTCCTTTGCATATTGCCATCCATAGGATTTCAATAGATGGTTCCTTTATACACATTTCGTTGGCACCAAATTTCAAGAGACCAATATCCAGTTATATTGGAATAGATGGTTCCAAATGGATATATATATAGACGATTGCAAAGGTTAGACCAACAAATTGTCAGCCCCATTCAAATACCTCACCTCAATCACGCGATTAACGTCAAGAAAAATTTCTTCCCAAAGTTTACCTTCAAAACACCTTTCACAAACCATCAAAATTTACTTTTCCCATTAAAAATTCTTAAAATAAATTCAATTTAATAAAAAATAAACCCCCAATTAATGTTTCACCACAACATGGCTTCTCATTTAAGTATCTAAGGCAACCAACTTGAAATCAAACACAATTCATCAAAGATAACAAAAATTTAGAATTACAAGCTTAAAGCTTAATTTCCTTCCCTTTATTATCCCGACTTTCCTAATTCCATCTACTCCCACAACCAAAATCTACTCCATGAAAGTGTGGCAGTAATTCAGAACAAAAAATTGTGGGATAATAAAAACAATTTGTTTAGACTAAACGTACGTAAATATAAGTGCTTATAGAAATTTACCTATACATCTCAACCACCTTAGAAAAACAACCATATACGATAAATAAAGGCCGACTTGACAAAAATAATCAAAATGAGATGTATAATGTTAGAAGAAAGTTTTGATAATTTTTGGAAAATGCGAAAAATGAGATATAATTTAATAGTAAATTTTTATTTAGACGATACGGGGTCTTTTTAAACATGTAAATTATGAAAGAGAAAGAAAGAGTGATGAGGAAACCATGGGCATAGGAGCTCAGCAATACTTAACATAGGCTGATGTTTGAACTGAACCTATATTAAAAAATGGGCATCAAGACGTTCTATTGGGGCATCAATTCATCCAAGTTTCTACATTTCTACAATTTGCATTAGCCAAATTTTGAATTGGAAATAAATATTATTCAAAATACAAATTTGATTGCTTTTAAAAATTTCCATTCCTCAGAGTTCATGTCCATATTTAAGCCTTAGGCAACAAAATTATCATCTGATTTATATTTACGATTTATGCCCATTCCAAGGATTTATGCACTTTGTCAAAGGGAAAGTTATAATTAATCCACTAAATTTTCTTTTTCTAAAACTTAAAACTTCATTCCCATTACAATTAAAATTTTCAATTGAAATCATCATTATTAGTGACAAAATAGCGGAACAGCCAATAGCATGAAGGAAACTGGCTAATTGCACGGAACTGGCAAATCTAAATAGGAACGGAAGGAATCAGGGATCACAAAGGATTATTCATTACTTGCTTTGATTATTTGATTCATTACCTTTTTTAATACCATGCATCTGATTGAATAAGCTCATTTCTGCAACCCAGCAGATCACAGAAAAGCACTTTATACACATTTCGTTGGCACCAAATTTCAAGA